TCACATGGAAATTACTCTGAATTAAAAACACTGATCATTTATTGAACAGGATGGAATCATTTCACATTTAAAGCAATTCTGAAAATAAACGGATTTTTCCTTTGAACAAATGTCCCTTTTTCTTAAAGAAACTATTTCTTCGTTTTAGCATCTTGACGATGTTGTTTGTCTCGTTCTCTCTTTCTCTTCCTACACAGTACCATCATATCTTGGGGAAAGAACAAGGAGAAGGAAGCCTTTGAGAGCATCCTTGACCAATTCCTGTCGGGTCCGGTGTCGGTTGTTAGCGACAGCTACGACATTTTTAACGCCTGTAAACACATCTGGGGAGACAAGCTAAAGGAGCGAGTCATGGAGCGCAGCGAAGACTCCTGCCTGGTGATCCGACCAGATTCTGGAGACCCAGCAGAGACCTTAATTGAGGTAAAGAAGAGAAATTTACAAGGATAAAGATTTCTTTTTTTTTTTTTTTTATTAAGAAACTTAAAATGTATTTTGGGGCAAAGAGAACTTGTGATGGGCACGGCTAACCAAAAGCTAGCTGTGAAAGCCATCCTCTGTCGCTGCGCCACCCCCGCTTTACGTACATGTTAATCAACGAGAACTGTTCCACATACCCATTTTCAGACAATTTCCATCAGTTGATGTCATTTGTCTGGCTGTATATACCGACAGGTTTATTTGGTGGAGGGTTTTGCTTCTATTTATGTTCAGATGAAATTAGTTCATTTGGAAATCGGTGTTTGGTTGGTTTGGTTGATGTTAACTAGTCTTTTTTTGTGTGTATTTGTTTGATTCTTTCATTGTTTGTCAAAATGTCTGAAATAAATTCTACTTCCTCCACATTTCACCTTCCACGTTCGTCTTCTCCGTCCTTCACCGTTAAGATACGGAGCCAAGCCATTCACCAATATTGCAATTGCAATTTTATTACAAAGCGTTGGTTTGAAAAAGCGTTTACTTCTGCTTGCATGCATGGATCTCCCTGCTAACTGCAACTCTGCCGACTCTGTGTGGCTGCAAACCCACTTTAAGTGTTTTACTGCTACCTAAAGCGCTGGAGTGAGAAACGTAGGGTTATAATCTTGCTGAATGTGAGGGTGCACTGCTAACTGAATTAATGTAAGCTTAGCTTTGATATTAGCTGTTAGGAATCCAACCATCCTCTTTTATTCTTTCCTTTAATCGTGCACATATGTTTTACTTTGTATTTTCTCCTTTCTTTCTGTCAGGTCGACCCCGGTTAGCTTTACTGGTACCTTTTTTTTCTGTTGAAACAAACAAACCCTTCTGCTACAGTAAAATGTCTTGGTCCTTGCTGATTGTGACATCCTAATCCCGGTGTGACTATTGCTGCTGCTGCATTAGTAACTGCAGTTCAGGGTTTAATCTCCAGCTGCTTCTAAGCCAGATGGTGTTTAGGAAAAGCTCTGATCTGCCTCAGGAATGCAGCGCTGCATTCTTGGTGCAACATAGAACTCGTGGAGGTATTTCTTTTAATGTGCAAACAAAACTGCTATGTCATTGCTTCATTAGTTACCAAGCAAGTACGTTTGAAGTTACATACGTGGTATGAAAAGACGCACAGGGATGTGAAAAGGAAGATGAAACAAGTTGTTCTGCTTAATCTGAAAACGATCTCCACATGCATCTGATTGATTGGCAGCTTAAAGGGTCCATCATGTACTATGACTGCTAAAAAAAACACAAATATAATTAAGATGAAGCAATATACACGAAGCCTGCATTTACTTGGTCCTTTTTGAGGCTGGAAAGAATTTTTCCAGGCAAACATAAACATTGCTGCACAGCAGCGCCTCCTGCTGGCAGCTTT